AAAAAAAAAAAAAAAAAAAGGGAAAAAGCCCGAGGAGGAGCGAGCGCACCAGGCGAACTCGAGAGAGGCGAGCGAGCGGGAGGGACGCCGCCAGCAAGCCTGTCCCCGGCGCGCCCGTGCCCGGCGCCTGCAGACCCTCGGCCCCGCTCCGCGGGCCCTCCACGCCCCTCCCGCGCGAGGGGAGCCCCACGGCGCGCCGCGGCTTTGACCTTCAGCGAGCGGAGCCCCCGCGCGCGCGGAGCCCGGGCGGCGGGCGGGAGTGCTGAGCGCGGCGCGGCCGGCCCGCTGCTTTGTGTTGCTCTGGATTTGGGAAGGAGCTCGCGGCGGCGAGCGGAGCCCGGAGGACGCGGAGGAGGGGGAGCCGCTCATTCATTTTTACTCCGCGTTTCTGCCCCCGGCCGGCCTCGCCCGCGACCGGGACTTCGGGGCAGTCCTGCGAACTGCGTCGCGCCCTCCCGCCGCGGCGGCTCGGGTGCCGGACAGCCTCCCCCTGCGTCTGGGCTCGGGTCTGTTTTCCTCGCCCAGACGAATTTGGGCTTTGCCCCCTTTCTTTGCAGTGTCCCCCACTGCCTGCCTCTCTGGGTTTGAAAATGGAGGCCGACGACGCCGACAGCCCGCCCCGGCGCGCCCCGGGTTCCCGACTCCGCCGAGCGCAGCGCCGAGGCTGCCGGCGCTGAGGGCCCGTCCCGCGCCGCCGCCCGCCCCGTCCGCGCAGCCCGGCGGGGCCCCGGCCGGCGCCGCCTTTGGACTATTGTTTCCTTCGCCCTTGTTTTTGGAGGGGGGCGAAGACTGAGTTTGCGACTTTTCCTTCCCTTCCCTCACCCCCCTTTTTTTTTTGGAGAAAGGGGAATTTCGTCCCAAATAAAAGGAATGAAGCCTGGCTCCGGAGGAGGGTCCCGGACCTCGCTGTGGGGGCTCCTGTTTCTCTCCGCCGCGCTCTCACTCTCGCTCGGGCCGACGCGTGGAGAAAGTGAGTATGTGGCCGCTGCCGCTGCGGGAACTTTCCCTCCGAGGGGCTGCGCCCTGTTTGCGAAACCCGAGCTGACGCGGCCGCAGCTGTCGGGCCCCCGGGCCCGGGAGCGGAGGGGCCCCGCCGAGAGCCCCGAGGCTTCCTCCATCTCGGTCCCGAGCCCTGCCCCGCGGCCGGCCGCCCTCGGCAGCGCTCCTGCCCCCGCGGCAGGGCCAGGTGCGGGGACTCCGCGGGCAAGTTCGCGCCGGGCCGGGCCCCGCCACCCACGCCTCGCTCAGCACCCAGCGGGCCCGGCGCGGCGCGCAGACGGCGGGGACAGCTTCCCGCGGCCGCGCGGCGCCCTCGCTGCAGCAGCAGACCCGGTTTCCCGTGCGCGGTGGCGGGGAGCCCACCCGCCCGTCCGTGGGGTACAAGTTGCCCTCGAGCTGGGAGGTGCCCCGCTGGGGGTCCCCGAAGCCCCAGGACACGTTTCCAAACATCCCAGCGCATTGCCTCTCGGGCTCTCTGGGTTCCTGTTCTTTCCCGTCACTTTTCCACTAAGCTTTGGCGGGTTACCTGCCTCTGGCTTACAGGGCTGTTCTGCGCGGCTCTGGGGTGGGGGCAGCTTTTCCGCTTAGGCCCTGGGGTGGGGGCAGCTTTTCCGCTTAGATCCTCCCTCCACGCATCCCCTGGAAAAATGCAAGATCGGGGGCTCCACGTCAGACTTTTCCGGGGACCTCGTCTCGGCCCCTCGTTCAGAGGGCTCTGGGACCTTCTCCCAGTTTCTACCCGGCCTGTGGGCACCTCTTCTCCTCCTGGGGAGGCTGTGGGTGGCAGGCAGCACCCGAGTGTGCGGGAGTAGGTGTGTAGTAGGAACCAACGTGCATTTCCACACGTGCTCCCAACGCGGGCGTGTAGCTGCTGCCGCACGGCCGCTCGAGGACACCTAGATGCCTGGCCTTGGCGAGGGGTGTCGTGCGCCGTTGGTTAAGGGGCCCCAAGGTCTGCGGCGGCTGGGGTGCGGAGGGGAGGGTGTTTTGTTCTGCGAGCGCAGAACCCCGGCCTTGGTTTTGTGGCCAGCGTGGTGTTGCACTACCTCCTCCTGCCCCGCACTTCCTTGTACGCAGTTAATAAGCAATATCGCTCCACACTCGCCATCGCTTGCAATCTGATAGTTTTTGTTTTGGCAGCGTCGGGTAGGGGTAGGGAGGTACGAGGAGGGAGGAAGGGCGAATTTAGGGCCCTGCGGTGTGTGGGGGAAAGAGAATGGGTTCTTACTCTCAAAAAGAAAAAAATAAAAAAAAAAAAAGAAAGAAAAAGAAAAAAGGAAAATAAAAAAGTTAAAGTTAAGCTTTCTGGTACATTCGCGATGGTAGCGTAATTTGAAGACAAAGTTTAAATATCGCAGAACTGGGGCTGGGCGTAGTGGGGACGGGATGGTGAGTAGTGAGTGTTTAACGATGGTATGCAGGTGGTGCCAATTTACTTTGAAAAATCACGACTTAGCCTTGAAAAGTGAGGGGGGAGAGGCCGACGGGGCTGTCTGCCCCCATCACAGGGCAAGTCAGGAACGCTGTTGGTATAAACAAACCCTTCTTAAATGTCTTGTAAGAAATTAGCCCATGATGGAGTAGCAGCAGATCTTTATAGAATTAGCGTGTTTACTGTATGGAGAAAGACGCAGATTGAGGCCCGACCTTCTACAAATCTGAGCTCTCCTGTTCTTTGTTTTCTAAACTTTCAGCTCACTGGATTGGATGAAAGGCTTTCGGCTCCCTTCTAAGGCTTACAGATGGTGTTTGAGGGGACAGGAGGGTTTCTAGCCTTTAAAAGCTAAATATAGTTTAGAAGACACAGGAAAGTTAATCTATTTTCTTGTGGCATGCTATTCCATGGAGTAGTGGCGCTAGTTTTCTTTAACGTTAGTAGGTTCTGAAATTCACAATAGCAGTGACGATCTTGCCTCAGGGTGGCAGAAATTGGGCATTTTAAAATTGGATGTCTTGTGTGGAGCACCCTTCATGAGAAATACTCTTCGTGAAAGGTGGCTCTTTGTTGAGAAAACAGGAGCAGGGGCATATACATGTTTATAATCCCAAGACACCAAAGCTTTTCACAAGGATCCCTTGAAAATTGTTGGTTCCTGAAGACCTGGGCGGTGGCCAGAAGGCATCCTGACGCCTGATTTTAGTTTGTTGAAGTCCTAACTCAGCACCTGCCCCCTCCCTACAGATGTGGTTTTCAGGAGTGAATGATACTGTTCAATGTCAGCCTGGGTTCAGTTTTTAGTCGGGAAGGTGCTAGATCACTTTCCTCTAATAAAAGTAAACTGAGATCTGTCAGGGGCATGCTTTTGTCTGTCTAGTATAGTAGTAAAGAGTGGGATGCTGTTGTCTCCTATTGTTTTGGCATATTTAGGGATTAGTGTTTCTTTTGTGAGTGTAACAGCAGCAGGATGATTTTTTTTTTAATCTTAGAAAATTTAGGAGTATTTGAAGCAGATGTAGTCATACAGGCATGTTGGTTTTGTGAACAAAGCCTCCCAAAATGTATTCAATCTAATGTGAACAGAGGCTCAAAATAAGGGAGCTTTGGAAGTATGAGTGATAGCTGAATACTCTGATGGCTTTAAAAAAAAATCAACATGCTCCTTAAACATATTGTGGCCATCTCATTAGAAGTATCCAGTCATCTTTCTGCCCCAGGCATAGTCATAATCCTATTGTCAGAGAAATGTAGGTATGTGAAAGGCTGGTGTTTAAAGAGGTTGGCGTTTTATTACCAGAAGAAGAACCCAGAATAAGAAGTTTGGAAAGAACCTAAATAGCAAATTATAGTTTAGACTTTCTAGAGGGAAATAGCAAGTAAACTGTACTTTTGAGGAGGTTGTGGGTAAGAATTTGAAGTTTAAAAGGTTGTATGTTTGATTTGTCAAAAGGGTTAGAAAAATCCAACCCTAAGAAATATGCTAAGGTTGACTAGAAGAACCTTAAAGACATACTAAGTGAAAGATGTCAGTCACAAAAGACCACATATTATATGGTTCCATTTAATGTGAAGTCAGAAGAAGCAAATTCATAGAGGTAGAAAGTAGATTAGTGGTTGGGTAGGGCTGGGAAGGAATGGGGAGTGACTGCTATTGGGTACGGGGTTTCTGTTAGGGGTGACAGAAATATTCTAAAATTAGATTTTGATGTGGTTGCACAACCGAATTTACTAAAGCCCATTGAATGGTAAACTTGTGACTTTTTATGATACGTGAATTATATCCCAACAATCCTGTTTTTTTTTAAAAGAAATACGCTAAGGTGGACAAGAATGCATTCTGTTACTTTGAACATACAAGTTTGATAAAAATCTATGAAGTCAGTTTTTCTGGCAGGTTGGTGTCTGTCTTTGGGGAGGTTTTCAGATCCATGAAGTACAGCAATGCAACAAACTGATCATGGAAGCTATAGCAGCAGGGATTCAATGCCATAGATGAAATGAACAGATAGGGAAAGAAAATCTTGGTTATACATAGCTCAAATTAAGGACTAAGGGGTTAGATTAAAAAAACACAAATGCTTGTGAAAGTCAGATTTGTGACAGTAAAACCCTTAGCAGAGTCCGAAATGATGTTGTTCTTTCCGAGATTAGAGTTTAGGAGTCAAGCCTGGATGGCTTTTTGTATTTCCAGCTTTCTGACATATGTTTTCCAACAAAGAAATAATGTAGTGTTTTAAGATGGTAAATAATTTCCACTGTTTTTTTTGATAGCCCATATCAACCACCCTGGTAGTAAAGATTGAGGACAAACTGTTCATTTTAATACATTTTATTTTGTTGATGTTTATTTTATTTCTTAAATAGTTTCAGAATCTGAGCAGGAAAAAGAAATGTTTTGTAGGATGTAGTAGTTGTTTCAGGCATACAGCATTTTTCTGAACTAAATTTCTTATAGAACAAAGGATTGAAAAATATAGCAAAGGCATTTTTGTCTTTAAACTCTTTTGCCTTTGTCCAGATTTACTTTGGCCTTTCAATAAGGAGAGACCTAGAGAGTGATTATTGTTTACATTTTGTTTTCCTCTTTGTCTACCGCTTAGTTTACTAATAAAAATGTTTCCTGCTCTTCTTATTGTTGTAAGATCAGGGCAGTAATGAAAATCAACCATATCGTTTTCACTTGTTGCTGTAGAGTTTTGCCAAGGGGAGCCCTCAAGGGACAGTAGCTTCCTTTTAAATCTGGTTTCATTTGTTTTGTAAGAATGTGCTGTAAGAAGCAATTGAATTCAGCCAGCACTTATTGGGCACCTGCTGTATGGAAGCCTGGCCCTGCGCTAGGTAAGGAGTGAGCCTACAAAGAAAGAGGACTTTGCTTTGGCCCTGGGGGCATTTTATATACTCCTGCATGAAACAAAGTTGTTGAAAAAATCAGAGCTTTTTCAGTCTCAGCACAGGATAAGTACACAGTTTTCAACTAGACAGCAAACAGCATTTTAAGGCCGTTTAAAAACATTTGTGTTGTGTGTGACCAATGTTGTTGGTCTTCTGAAGGCACCATGTTTGCTTCATTAATACTTTCCCTCCTGTTGCAATATCCGTCACCGCAGGCCATGACACACAGGAGACATTCACCCATCTTGTTGAGCTGCACTGCCTTCTTTATAACATTGTTTTTGACAGTTGTGATGAAAAAATGTGCAATGTCGTAGTTACCTTTTGCCAAAACCTCAGGAGTTACAGGTGTGTACCTGAATGTTGCATGGCATGCTTTGAGTTGTAAGGGAGATGAAACTTATTTCAAGGCATTTCTGGGTTTGCACATGGCTTGGTTCACTTTCTGGAAATTATTAGGAAACATTCATGATCTTAAGGCTTTATAATTTAAAATAACTTGCTCTTTTAAGAGTGTGAGGGGGTAAGAATGGGATTGAAGAGGCAATGAAATCTTGAAATTTTTCTGATTCGTTAAAATGTATAAGCCATGTTTTTCTTTGGGTTATGGTTTTCTCCAATTTGTTTTCAACACTCACTTA